AGCTATCTTTAGCAGCTTCCAAACTGCACTGAGGACCTGTAGGATTTTTTGGGGGGTGGGGGGTTAACCTGTTTTTCTTTTGCCATGAGGAATCTTCTCTCTTTGTACAGCATGCCATGGACATGTATTGTGGTAAAGGCATATCTGGAATCAGTATATATATATTGACTTTTGGGGGGACAATTTGAGTGTCTAAATCAATGCCCATAGTTTGTCTCTTTGTGCCGACCATCCAGCTGGAGGAGGTCCAGGTAGGAGCACCTCTTGGGTTGTTACCATAAGGAGTGGTGGATTTTTTTGTAACTGAGCTACTTTCATCCATAAAAAGGGTGTATTTAGAGTCAGTCAGGGGAGTCATCTGAAAGTCTGGTCAGCTAGCACAGCCTTTATCATCAGTCATCAGGCAGTTGTGGTCAGGTGGACCCATTTTAGAGGGCAGGTGAGTTGCAGGATTTAGAGCTTTTATAGCCGTGATGGTCAGGCAAGGATTTTTACATGGCAGTGCCTGGTATTGAGTGATGTGGCTATTGGAGAGCCAATTTTGCCCTTTATTAATAACTACTATTGAATGAGAAGTATATACAGTTACCTTTTGTCCTAAAGTCAGCTTGTCAGCTTTTTTATTAATATGACTGCAGCAGCCACAGCTCATAAACAGGGAGGCCATCCTCCTGCCATGGGGTCTAAAGCTTTTGAGAGGTAAGCAACAGATCATTCCCAAGAGTCTATCTTTTGAGTTAAGACCCCCAAGGCAACAGGATTTTTTTTTTATCTAAAAACAAGTTGAAAGGTCTGGTGATATCTGGGATGCCGAGCATAGGAGTTTTGCTTAAAGCCTTTTTTAGTCCTCTGAAGAATTAATCTTGTTAAGTGTTTTACGTTGTAATTTTTTTATTTTTTGTCTTTTGACATCTCATATGGTGCCCCCCCCCCCAACCCCTGGAACCTAGATTCTGCAGAATCCTGCCACCTTGAAGAATTTTTGGACCCTATTTTTTGTTCTGGGTCTTGGCAGAGAACAAATGACTTTTTTTCCTCTGGGCCTAGCTTTCTTTGTCTTTTTTTCAAGTCAAATCCCAAATATTGCACTTTGGTCTGACAGATTTGTGTTTTTTATGAGACTTTATATCCCAAATCTTGCAGGAACTTGAGGAGGGCCTTGGTCTCTTTTCAGTGGTCTTTTTTTTTGACTCACTACAAAGGAGGAGGTCATGTACATATTGTAACATGCAGCAATTATATTGAGCATGTGGGAAATACTTTAAGTCTGAGGCCAGTGGCTCACCAAACAAAGTAGGAGCATTAGTGAATCCCTGCAGTAGTCAGGTCCAGATCAGCTGTCCTTTTTGTCTTGTTTCTGGATCTTTTCATTCGAAGGTGTAAAGTGGCTGACTTACTGGGGCAACTTGAAGGCAGAAGAATGTATCTTTTAAATCTAGGCAGGTAAACCATTTTGCCTTTGCAGAAATCAGGCTGAGCATGGTGTAAGGGTTAGGAATGGCTGGATGTCATGTAACAGTGGCCTGGTTAATGGGCTTCAAGTCTTGTATGGGTCTGTAATTACTGTTAGGTTTCTTTACTGGGAGGAGAGGTGTATTTCAAGGTGATCGACATTTTACAAGGGCCTATCTTTTTAAAATCTATTTAAATGGGAGTGGATTTTTTCACTGAGCCTCTTCTGCCATCAGATACTGTCAAAGGGTCACTGGGAGGGCACCAGACTTGAGTTTTAGTGCCATCAGGCATATCTTCTTGCAAGGCTAGGTGGGCTGTCTTTACCCCAGACTCATGGGAACAATGTCCTAAGTTTTTTGATCCTCTTGTGTCTCTCAGATTTTAGTTTTATCACCCTCAAATAATTGCCAGTTTTTTTCCCAGGGAACTGTGGACCAGCAGGACATGACTGTCAGGGGTAGTGTTCAGGCCCAGATGGGCATCACCTGTGTCTCTATCAAATGTGATGGTGGCCCCCAGCTTAGAGAGAAAGTTTCTTCCCAAGAATGAAATGGGACATTCAGGCATGCATAAGAACTTGTGGGTCACTTGATGTCCCCCAATCATACATGTCCTGTGCTGGCAAAAAGTCTTTAGTGGGGATTCCCATGGCCCCAGTAACTTGAGTATGCCATGTGCTTAGAGGGGCAACTAACTGAGTCACAATAGAATGTTCTGCTCCACTGTCCACTATAAAGATAATGTTGTGGTCCCCGACTTTGGCCTTGACTAGGGGCTTATGGGGACCTAAATTTAAGGAGCCCTGTCACCCCTTTTCATCCTCTTTTCCTGCCAAAGAGAAGAGAGTGGAAGGGAAAACATCCTCTTTTTCTTGCTGTCTCTTTTCCTGTCTCCTCTTCTGGAGCATTGGGAATCTGTTTTTGTTATATCCATGTTCTTTACAGCATGCACATTTGTCTGAATCCAAATCAGCATTCACTGGTCCTTTTGGCAAGTTTCCCTGTGCATTTTGCTTCCAGTGGGAGATCTCAGGTGGGGTTTTTTCTTTTACTTTTCAGCACAGGTTGGCCCAGCACTGCCACCAGGAGAGTGACTTTTTGTCTGGTTTGGCAGTCTGTTTTTTGTTTTTGCTTTTGTTTATTTTTCTTGTCCCTGGTTTACATAGACATTTTGGGCAGTGAGAATCAGCTGGGTGATAGTTATCCCTGCCCAGCCTTCTTGTTTTTGAATCTTCCTTCAAATGTCTGCTGTAGCCTGGGTTATGAATGCAGTGTTGACTATTTGCTGATTTCCAGGGGCTTTGGGGTCAAAGGGTGAATATGTCCTGTAGGCTTCACACAGCAGCTTGTAGAAATTTTGGGGGCTTTTATCTTTTTCCTGAAGGGTTTTTGCTATCTTAGTTATGTTATGTTGCCTCTGAGCTCTTGCTTCCATCCCCTTTATGAGGGCTTTGCAGTACTTCTTGAGTCTCCCTAATGCTCCAGCCATGTTGGGGTCCCAATTGGGTTTATCACAAGGCAGGTGATCATTTATCCATTGTTTTTTATTTGTCTCATCTTGGGGTACCTGGGTCTTGAGGTATTGTCTTGCCCCATCCATGACTCATCTGCATTCCTTGGTCTTGAGGGGTGCCATCATCAATTTTTGACAGTCTTCCCAATTTGGATGGTGTATCCAAAAAATGGAGGGCAGGAGTCTAGTCATTGCCTCTGGTTTTTTTGAGTAGGAAGGAATATGATTTTTTAAATTCAGCAAATCAGTGGAGCTAAAATGCTGATGTATGAGGATGGAGGGACCTCCTGCTGGATTGGGATACTTTCTGAGGGGCATTTGGAGATGGGCAGAATGGAGGCGGTGAGCCACTGGACTAGTGGGGTCTTTATCTGAAGCAGATGTGGATGTAGGATCTTGGAGTGGCTGGGTTGAATCAGGTGAGGTCGGGACTAGTGCTGATGGTGCTGAGACTGGCACTGAAGCTGCAGGGGCTGCTGCTGATGCTGCATGGGCCCAGGGAAGGGCTGGGTGAGTCAGGTAAGGAGGAGGAAAGTCTAAATTCTCTTGGTCTGTGTCCAAAAGGACTGGGTTTTTTTCCAGCATTGTCCTCTTTCTGATGGAGGACCAGGATAGTGCTTTTTGCTTCCAGGGTGAACATATGAAGCCAAGGAGGCATTCTGTGGCACAATTTGTGCCATGAATCAATATAGGGAAATTGAAGTGGATGTTCCTGTCCAGGGGTGCTGACCTCTTGCCAGATGGACCAGATTAGATCCCCATCTAGGGATCCCTTAGGTGACCAAGCTGGGAAAAGCTTGGGCCATTCTAACTCACAAAAAGTTCTAAGCTTTGGGGGTTTTATCTTAATACCATAATCTCCAGTAAAACCTTTCTTAAAATTTTTAAGCATGCATTTTAATACAGTAGGATGAGATGGTTTTGTCCCCATGTTGGGCCGATCAGGTGTGTGTATGGGTACCCTTGTACAGAGACACAAGACAAAGGAGGGTGACCATCAGAGATGATCCACACAGGCACCTGTCTGGCTCTGTGATCAGGACCATCCAGGCATATTGGTGTATTCATCTCATTGCAAGAGCACCCACTTAGCCCTTCATTAGACATCCACAGAATCACAGATCAGGCCCAAGCACATCTGTAAACTCAGGGGAATATTTAAGCACAGAGGTGCCCCCCCTTTAGTCATGGACACAGACAGAACAGCCTATGATATTAAGCTGTCCCTTCACACTCATTCTCACAATCATGCACAGTAATTCAGAGGTTAAACATTCCCACCCCCCTGGAATAGCCTTAACTCAATTTTCACCAACAGCATTACAAAGGTCTCTCCAGGAACTCAAAAGGCCCCTACCAAAGGGGAATGTGATATTCCCAAACAAGGGGTGATCAGGCCCTTCTTCTGACTTGCATCAGGAAATAAATTGAAATTGAGACTCTAGGGCTTTTCCCAGGGCAGTCTACCATATCCAGAGTCAGGCAATCACACAGTCACTCACTCAGTCCCATGTCTCCTTGTCTGTTGTTCTGGATCCGGTCAAGCTGCTGTCGACAGGTTGGCATTGTGAGTCCCGGGGGTGGGGGGACTCTCCCAGGGGCACCCTTCCACCCAGAAGAGTCAGAAGGGCAAGCATGTTCTGGTAAGGTTTGAGCCATTGGCCAAGTGGCCAGAAGATTATCTCAACTCCTGGCCAATGCACCAAATGTTGCAGCAAGGGAGTTGAAATGACCTTTCAGAGACAGGACAGTAGGGTAAAATTAAAAAGTTTATTGCCAGGCAAGGACAGCCTCAGGAAACAAGACCTTCTAGGCTGACCACATGTTCACAGTTTCTTCTTTTCATACCTTTTACAGGCCAGCTTGCTGTTGCACACCAGAATGTGGCAAGGGCATGATAAACCAGCATTAGGTGGCAAGGGTATCATAAGTTGCAATTACAAAATGTAGCAAGGGTGTGGTACAGCGACATTAGGTATAGGGTTCTTAGATAAACATACTTCAAAGCTAACTTCTAATTTCTCTGGGAGCAGGCTGCCACCACAAGAAAGAGAAGCCTTAACCTTGTCAGAAAAAGGAAAGAAAAGGCCCAAATCCATGCACTTAGGAATGAAAAGGGTGAAATTACAACAGACCCAGCAGAAATCCAGAGGATCATCAATACCTACTTCCAGAACCTATAC